GAAATAAGTCGGGGTGACGAATATAAGCCGTGCGTCGCGCATCGCGACTTCAACTCGCGTAACGTGCTCGTCAAAGCCGATCGAACGTGCTGCATCGGGGATTTTGGTTTTGCCTTGAAAGTATTTGGCTCCAAGTACGAATACCGCGGCGAAGTTGCTGTAGCCGAAACAAAAAGCATCAACGAAGTGGGCACGCTCCGTTACATGGCACCGGAACTGTTGGAGGGCGCCGTCAATTTGCGTGACTGCGAAACATCACTCAAGCAAATGGATGTTTATGCTCTGGGATTGGTACTGTGGGAGGTGGCTACTCGATGCTCGGACTTCTATCCACCTGCCCAAATGACGCCATCCTACAAAGCCCCCTACGAACAGGAGGTCGGCACCCATCCCACTTTTGACCAAATGCAGGCGTTGGTGGTGCGGCACAAGGCACGACCCTTGTTTCCCGCAGGCTGGGGTGGGGGCTCTGCGGCCAAGTTGATAAAGGATACATGCGAGGATTGTTGGGATCATGATGCTGAAGCGCGGCTGACATCGCTCTGTGCCGAAGAGCGCATGCAAGAAGCAGCTGGTTTGCGGCCGCGCTACTCACATGCACAGTCGCCTAGTCCTTTGCTGAGCGCAAACAATTTGCTGGTGCCTGATCAGGTGGATGGGAGCGTGAAAATATCCATGGATACGTGTAATTCGGAAACAGAATCGATGCTTCAGCCGCCACCAAACCAAAAGATTTTGCCGCGCGCCCAAAGTGTGGGCAGTGAGTTAGGTATCGCACCACATGCAGAGAAGAACCATCTTATTCACACCCAACAACAACTACAACCATATCAGGGACGCAACCCATGCCAAGAGCGCAACCTGGCACCAGTGTCCAATCGACCGCCCCAGATTTTGGTTGAGAAAAGCAAGAAGCACAGCTTTCAAAACGGACAAGAAAACAGTTTTTCTTGCTTAGAAGACGACGTTTCAGTCGAAGACCTTATCTCTGGTGGTAGCTCGAAAAAAATTAACAATTTCATGACAGAGAATGCACCGAGCATGGGAGAGGGCTTTCCCAAGCAACACAATACCGATCGGAAATTGAGAGGTTGGCACGGCGTTCGGGCGCTAATACAAAAAAAACTTTTCCGCAAAAGCGACGTTGGCACTGACCTTTTCCAGCAGCAATTCGGGTACGGAGATGAAAAGTCTAACTTGGTGGACAATCGGTACGCTGCCGTTATTAAAGGGCTCGACAACAATGGCAGCGATAGGTTGGCAAAGGCAGCAACAATTAGTTACATAGATGACCGGCAACGTAGCAATAACGGTGTAGCGACAACCAAGACCACAATGCTCACTGATGTCTACCCACATACAAGACGACCCAACAACCTTGACTTGAGTCCTATGAACGGTTCAGCCGTACCAGTAGGAGAGTCCAGTGGCCCGCTTAATGCTCCTGTTGCTTACAACAAGTCAAATCTAATTCAAAGCATAGCGGAGGAGAGCATCGACAAGGGCGCCAAGCAACACCTTCAGCAAGTAGACAAACGCACTAGCACGCCATGTCATGTGGTGCCACGTTCCCTCTCTTCTAGTCTAATTAAACACATAAACCGCAATAATAATAACGTGAGTAAAGGCGAGCTGAATACCATAAACGCTACGAACAGCA